CATTTAAATTTAAATATCAACAAGATAAGTCAGTTGCACCTAACTTCTCAGACAAGACTGCTCGAAAAAAACAAATAAATAAATAAAAGTGAAAAACAAAAAGAAAACTATTTTTCTTCACAGCTAGAAGTAGCTTAATCTCTTCTCTCAGTTCGCGCAATATGTTGTTTTTCGGCAACTAACGAATTTCGACGTAAAGTTTAACGGTCAAAGTTCATTTCAGCGAATATTTTTTTCAATGACCGAAAATTTCCATTTGATCATTGTTATAAAATTCCCAATTTCTGTTATTCATTTCGGATTTCCATTTCCTTTTATGATCATTTCCATTATATTAGCAAGGCATTTAGGAAGGAAGAATGATGAAAGCTAATAATGCTTGACAATAATGTTAGTTGTTAATGCAGAGGGGATTCATTTTTAAAAAAGCATATATTTTAGCCATTGCTTTTCATAATAATGGCTTAGGCTTACAAAGAGAGAGATGATAAGTACAAGTTAGTAATGAAAAATTTATAGAAAAATGAATGCGTATTTAATGAAAAATAAACATAAAATAATATAATTAGATGAAAAATATATAAAGTAAACATGATGTAATGCAAAAAAAAAAAATTAAGTAATAAATTTAATTAACGTAGCTACAGGTGTCATGTATTGTGACCGGAAATGTCCCGTTAATGAAGGAAAAATGTTCGGAGGAAGGAGATTGTCATTCGGTAACGGTATCTTGTCCAATTGCAAAAAAAATGGATGATGGTATCATTAGTGATAACGATGTAGTAGAACAAGAAGAGAATATTATCACTGAAAAAGCATTACCCCATCCTCCACTACAATCAATTTCTACACCAGAAGGTTAGTGTTTATGTTTAAAATTTTTCAAATTATTTTTGATATGGACCGAAAAAAAAAATCACATTAAAGAATGAACAGAAAAAGATGTATTTTTTAAAAGGATGAAAGGATTTATGTGTTTGATTAAGATCAGAAATTTCAGATAGCTCACGATCTTGCTTCTTCTTCAGCGATAATAAAACCTCAGAGATGATCGATGATAGTAATAGAGGTAATGGTGGTAATACCTGGAAACCTTGTATGCCAGTTGATGCAGTTTGTCGTATGGTTGAGATGACAACAGTTGGAAAATCATCTGTTGCATGTACCGTTCAAAAGAATGAAAAATTGGTTAGTTTAATAGGATTTAATTGTTATTATTAGAAAAGTGAGAAAAAAAGCATTCTTAGAAAAATTTTTTTTAAAATTATGATTTTTCCCCGTTTTTTTTTTGAACTTTAAAAAGATTAAAAATCTTTTACTATTTAAAGAAAGCAAAAGCCAAAGAAAAAAAAATCTTCAAAATCATAAAATTTAGAAACTTAATTGCTTTTAGAATTAACTTTTCAATAAATTTTCAGCATGAATGTTTGATAATTTGGGAGACTGATAAGCAACGTTGTCATGATTCGAATTGCTTAAGCTTACATTTGAATTGTCCAGTATTAAACGAATATGATATGGTTTTGCCAATTCAGAAAAGTAAGACAGGTTGGTTTTATGGAACTTTTAGTTTTTTATTTTAAAATTAGAGAAAAAGTCAAAATTTATTGAAAGCCAATACTAGTTTATAGTTCTAAAATATTGCAATGGTTGATTCATTCGTTAAGAAACTAACTTATTTAGTGACAAAATTTGATACAAATAATTTGCTGATGGAAGTATGTCGAAGTAATAGTTTTGTGACAATGACATAGTGATTATATTAAGAATTAGCAATGTATTTGTTGCCATATATTGTAAGAAAATTTCAACTTGTTTTTTAATGAATCTAAATTATTGAACAGAAATAATAGATTAATTCAACAATTAATTTAAATTAAGTTCAATTGATTTACATCAGTGTGTTCGTCCTGTCCAAATCGATGATTGCTTGATTTAATTTAACATAAATCCTGATAAATTTCCAAATATAATTCACATAGAATTATAATATGATAATAATAGCTTACAGGAGTTCTTGGTTTGGTACTATCACTAGCATTCTTTACCGGTGTAATTGCTGCTTGCATTGGAAGTTATTTTCAACAGGTATGCTTGAAAACTGCAGATATCAGAAATGATGAAAATGATGATAATGAAGCTAAATTCTGTGGATATACGATCTATCCCACATACACTAATAAATAACAATTATTTCATAAACAAATATTAATGGTAAAAATGTATTTATTCTGTTAAAATAATTACATTTCTCATTAGTATAAAATTAGTGCAAAATTAATTAGCACAAAAATATGACTTTGATTTTGTAAATGAATGCTTATACTATTTCTGTAAAATTTAAAAGTTAAAAATTGGATAGATAGGAGAAAGGATAAAAAAGTGCAAGATGATATGAAATGTTTTTAGATAAGGTGGAATAATTTAAGAGATAATATTAATTAGACTTTACTCAATTCTAATCAATGGATTAATCAGTAATATTGTTGCTCAAATACTTATCTCTTTACCAATATTTCATTTTTTAAAATCGTAAATTGTGGTTAAGGAATAGGATTGGTATGAAGAGTAATAATTACTCTATATATATATTATATCGATAATGTTCATTTCATTGTATTGATGATCATTAAGTGGAAGCTATTGTCATAAATGTGTGATATCTCTGTTGGTGAATTCGTTAAAATTAATTCTTGGAAAAATTAATAATTCAATTGGTTATAAACTTAAAATAGTGGTATTGTACTGCAGAGGTGAATTAGTTTTGTATATGTGCAAATTATTATCATATTTTTTTCACTGACATTTATGCTTTTTTTTACACTAATTAAGTTTGTTTAAATTAATTGAAGTTTGTTTTAAATATGATACCTTATTTTAGGAACTCTTATTTTTTAAAATATATTTAACAAAGACAGACGGTATAAATTTATTATGCTGGTACATCGGTGGTCACTTCCTAAAGCGAACAATATGTCAAGAAATTTCGTACGAAATATGAATTGATTAGCTTGCAGATAATCAATCAATGCATCCTATATCACTGATAACAGTGATTAATCGATTGAAATAACTAAAATATTTCATCCAACTATCAAAGTGTGCATTTATTAGACAAGAAATAAGGATAAACAAAGATCACTTGATGTAATTTAAGTTTGCATAAAATTAAATTAATGAAAACTAATGAAGAGTATAAGAAATTAATTTAGTTCCTGACAATATTAAATGAATAAAAAAACAAGTCAATTATGTTAAAAAAACTTAAAATATAAAAATAAAATAAATCAAGATAGATCTTCAAAAAAAAGTGAAAAAATAAATTTTTTAAAATTATTTTTTCAAATTTTGAAAAAAAAGGAAGAAAAAACGAAAGTGAATAAATAATTGAATTTTTTTTAAAAAAAAAAGAAAGAAAAATGGTTAGAATTTAGGTGACCTATAACCTAAGTTTCAAGCGACATGGAAGAAATCTTCAATACATTATTACCATATCAACTATTTTCTCAATGCACTCAATTTGGTTAGCAAAAAAAATTTAATTTTAAAGAAAGTAGCATGAATTGAAAGTTGGGCTACAAAAAGAAAAAATTTAAGCAATTTTCTCTTAAAAAATTAGGAGAGGGATAAAAATTTCAATTGTCGAGAAAAAATTTGGCTATCCTATCTCTTTATAAATGTCACGTAAAAAAATATCCCTGAATGAAAGGTAAACAGCATAACCATCAAGTCTTTTTACCAACTCAAATGAATTTCATCGTTAATATTTATCTTGACAGGAACAATAAGTCTATGTCTACGGTTTCCGAATGAATTAAGCCTAGCCACTTTTCATATAGATCAGATACATACAGCCAATTCTTCGAGTACTATCACTCAAAGTAAGAAATTTACTACAAGTATTATCATAAAATTATCATCATTTTAAAAATATTAATTACAGAAGTAATCGTTAAAAAAAATGGTAAATTATGCACTAAAAATCATAGCAATATTGGAATAAAAAAAATCTCATTCAAAGCAAACTTCAATTAATTTGAATTAAAAATCTGAAAAATTAAAAAAAATGGAAATAAATAGAAATCATCATTGACTCGAAATTCATATAAAAAGGGTATAATTACTACACTGCAAAGTTATTACACAGAACTGTTGAAAAAAAATAGCGAAACCAAATTTGCGTAATAAATGACAAGATAATGAATGCGGTAATGTTCACATTCTCCTCCATTAATTCGAATCTTCGCTTTGCAAATTTTGCTGGATAAATCCATCCTTTTTGCGCCTATCTACTTGTAAAAGAAGGGTAGTTACTGTAAGATAACTAGAAGATAACTAGAAAGATAACTAGAAAGGAGAAAAAGAGGTCTTTGTACATATTAAGAAAGAGTACATATTTCATAATTTTTCTCTTTAGCCTAACTCTTAGCGGAGAATGAATAAAATTAATCAATAATTGCAGTAAGATATTTTAAAAATAAATACATTACAGAAAACTATGAGTTAAAAAAAAGCAATAAAATGTATTTAAGTAAAGTTTGTCGTTTCAACAGTTTACAATTTTATCAAACAACGGTAAATAACTAATGGTATACATGTGTATGAGACTTAAATTAAGTCGTAAATTCGACATAACTAGGTATTCAAAACAAGTACCGTAATTTCGATGTTTTTTTTTCTTTGAAATCGAAAGTTAACCAGGTATATCAGATCAACTTTAAAATTACAGAAAGAGAGGAGAAAAAGTTAAATTATAATGGCAAATAAACGGTCGATAAATAATTTTTGTATCAGTCAAAGTTAAGGAAGAAGTTGATCTCTGATGCAGCAGAAAAGTGCCAAACAAAGTTCATAATGCAAAAATCGTAGAATAAGCGAAATTGCAATTAGTATTTATCATGCATTCATCGTGGTTTTCTTGTGTAGCAAAATTTTTATAATTATTATGTAGCAAATTTTGGTAGAATTAATTCAGGACCAATTATCGGAATCCAGGCAAATTCAGGGCCAATTCAGGACTAATTATCGACGATTTTCTTCAACTGTAACAAGGACTGAGTGTTCTTTCCGACTCTTTGGTTGATAGTACCTCAAACTTAGGCTTCGGCAAATTTGTAAATGTAACAACGAACTTAGCAATTACGATTTCGTATATCAAATTAATTACGACGACAATATGAGAAGGAAACCCAACAACGCTCAATATCGTCTATTCAACCGACCACGTTGAAATACATCTTGAAAAATGATTTTGATGCTTAGGATCCTCTGCTTCCTGGAATACGGAGGTTTTAAGGTCAGTTTGTTTTGTAGTCAGTTTGAGTTCTGACGACAGCTCTGAGATTATAAGAAGTACCGGTTTATTAGAGTACTCAAACACAATAGATGCACAATTTCAGCTTACACTGTACAGAATATCTGGATATATGTATATCCAGCGTATCAAATTAATAACAAGGGTGTTTGCTGAAATCGTGTGGAGAAGCAGTGAATCAATAATTGCTTTCATACTGTTGGTATAATGTATTGTATGTATAGATGAACTGTGCAACGCAAACTAATATTGTGCATCCACTGTTTTATGTTCTCTAATAATAATTCTTGTGACCCCAGAAGTGACCTCAGATCTATCCAAGGATCGCCCAATTCAAGGAAGAAGAAGGTCCTTAGCGCCAAAAACTCACAGGAATAAAGGTTTAATTAAGCAAGTTTGAGATACTATCAACTAAAGAGGCAGAAAAAACCTTCAGTTTTTGTCACGGTTGAAGAAAATCGGCGACAATTGAAGAAAATCGGCGACAAAGGGAATCACTGATTCCCTGCATCGCCTCCTCATGATTTTAGCGGCATCAAATGATGAATTCCCTTGAACTATTATACATTTCCTCTCCAATCAATTCATCCAATAATTTCTATCATTAACGAAATCTTACATTCATAGTTCAGATGAGATAGTTATCAGCCTCTTCCTGCTAATCTTATTTATATGATTTATTTAATTTGTAAGTAATTTTCGTTTAGTTAATTTTTTATTTATTAAATTGTTTACTTTTTTT